TGCGCCAGGCAACACGGGAGCAGTAGTGCAGCTGCCAGCATTATACTGCAGTTGCAGGCCCAATTCGCGAGCTTCGCTTTCCTCCTGGGCTTGTTGCCTTCTTAACGCGACCTGTAGAACGTCTCTTCGTCAATTCACAAAATGTAATTGTGCAAAGTATACGTAAGTGTATACAAAAAAAATATATGTGTGGATATGTAGAGGATAAAATAAATAGATATGTATGATAAATAGGAATCATTTGTCTTTCTGTTTATTCAAATTATGTTATATCACTTTTATGTTAATACGCAACCTCACTTTTTCAAAATTATGAGACAAAAATCATAAAATTTTGCAATTAAAAGACAAAAAGAAAAATTAAAACAAAGAAAATTTAAAAAATTTATTAAATATTATGCTTATTATCTTTTATCATTAATTTTTAGAAGTATATACATAAAAAATTATTTAATATCATTGGTTATTAACAGTAATTAATATATGTAATTTTACTTTAATCATAAAAAAAATATTAAGTAATTTCATAAAAATGTATATCTATATAACAATATAATTGTTTATATAATAGATTAAAAAAATCTATTCATTTTATATTTTATTCCTTTTATGAAATCATGAACATTTTGATTTTATTATAGATTTAAATGATTAACAAAATTATAAAAGATTATAAAAAAAGCAAAAATATATGAAATATCATAAGTTTTATTATTTTTAATTATTTTTAATATTTTTATTTTTTTAAAATAATATTATTTTTAATAATTAATTATTTTTAATCTTATCTATATTACATATTTTTAATCTAACAAATAAATATTGAATTTAAAATCAAGAAAAAGTTAACAATTCTAATCTCAATCATGTATTATATGTATCTAGAATATTTTTCTATTTTTCTATCTCTTTTTTCAATTAATCTTATGATTTTCATTTTCATTTTCTATATAAATATCAAATATTTTTATACAATCATAATATAAGTATCAATATAACCTAACTTTTGAAACTACAAGGATCAATAATTAAACTCTACTGAAAATATAAACATCATGATGAAGCATAAATTACATTTAAAACTTTGTAGTTGAAAAAAAACAATAAAATATTCAAAGATTAACAAATAAAATTAAAAATAGTATCTACTATTCCCAAAATTTAAAGCAATGTAAAAGATTCTGAATTTTTAAAAAATTATTATAGTAATGCATGTTCAATTTTCACATATGTACACATTTCACTTTTTTATTTATATTATATTATGTATAAAAAATAAATATAAAATGACAAAAGAAGTATCCCATGTTTTAAAAAACATTAAAAAAAGCTGATTGAATTAATTTATACTTTTTTAATATATCTACTATGCCATTGAAAACAAAACTCAGCATGCTAATGAAATATTTTTATCACAATTGTTTCATTTTATATGGAACATATATTAACATAATATCAAAGATATAAGATCTAATAGTATTTAAAAAAAATTGGCAAATTCTTATTAACGATATTTTATATGAAATATACTTTCTATATATAATTTCCTTAATCATAAATACAAAATTATTATCTGTCAACTATATAATAATAGTTCTATCATTGTTTTACTTAATCGATTTATATAATTTAGAGTTTTTTCAATTAAAAAAATTGTTTTAATAAGTATCGTCGAAATAATAATATTTGTATTTAATATAAATTAATGTCGTAATGACGATTTACCTGAGCAGCCATGACTCGTTGTCTCTCCGCAATTAATGTACATTTCGCACATACGCAATCCCGCCAACGACAGTATCGTTTGTGACCCTTTAACGCGGAAACAACACCGTGATTACGGCATCTTGCACACTTCGGTGTCCTTTGATATCTCTCAGCACTAGCACGAAGAAAAAACGCGGCTGGTAACACGTGATGTTGCTGCTGTTGTTGCTGATGTTGCATTAATTGACCTACGTCGACACCAAGACCGACACCCCGCGGCAACGACATTGTTTCGATAGATAAGTAATAATAATTGAATCAACGTCTTGAATAAAAAATATAAAAGATATAAAAAAAGAACCGATCACTTTATGAATGATTGATAAAATCAACAATGTCACGGATCTGTGGGCATTGTTATCAAACTCACAGTAAAAATACTCGATCACAGAAAATAGTCATTTTTAGCTGAGCACAAAGCCCAATATACACTAACACGTATCGATCTCATTTTAACACCGTTGCGATAAAATTATTCACTACCGAGTACTTTTCATAACCGTAATATTTAATTCACAATTACGTTATAATGTTTATATCAATAAGTTCTGATGTTTCCAAGTTACACTGTCATATAAATATCTCAAATTTCTAACTGCATCACATTGAATTATTAATTGATAAAGGAAAGCTACAGAGTTTAACGATAGAATGTAGTCACACAGGCTCTTCTTACTTCAACCGAAGAAATCACATTTAACGCTGTTCGGTAGAAACCTTCAAACCGGCACCGTACAGTGAACGAACGAGAGAACGATAGAGAGAGATAGATATGAGGAAAAGAAAGAAGAAAGACGGAGAGAAGTGATGACGAGTACGGTGAAGAGAGAAAGCTCGACTGGTAGACATGCGCACGCGCCCACACTTCCGAAAAGTTCACCGGCAGAGAAGAGCGGCGGCACCACCGCTCGTACGGGTGTCGGGGTACGAAATGCGGAATCGCCCCGACTCCTCTCACAGCACTCTCTCTCACTCTCCGGCATTGTCAACAATTGCAGCATCCCGGGAGAGTCGATTCAGGTAGCGTGGAGAGACAGAGAAGCGACGACGATAGTGGTGTCGGCAGTAAAGAGGGAGCCGAAGGCGGACGAATAAGGAGGTGGGGGCACATAGGCGCGGAGGAGGGGAAGATAGAAATCAAGGGGGGGTTCAGAATGTCGCAAGGAGACCAGGAAGCGAGGGCATAGAAAAGAAGAGAACGAGAGAAAGAGGGAAAGATAGATAGAGATAGAAACTGAAAGTGTGGAGGAAAAATGTGGAAGAAGGTGGAAAAGTGAACGGGGAGTGGGATACCGAGAGGGAACACTGATACCGAAAAGAAACGAATGTGCACGAAAGAGACCGATACTGCGCGAAGTGGAACATGTCAGAGTGAGATAACGTGACAAAAGAAGAAAGAAGGAATGAGAATGGAAAGCGAGAAGGAATTTATTGGGGAGGGATAGGGCAGAAACTAACAGCCCCTCCACAGTTGCGCGAAATAAAACACTGTGCCACAGTGTTCCACCCCGGGGCTTCGGCCAAACGCAAAGCCGCGCTTAGGCACGGCCACGCCCGCGCACCTATCTGATTGGCCGAACATGCTGTTCCACCAAGATGTTAAGAGTATCTGGCTAGGGGTGTAAGGGGGACATACCTAACCACGTACCCACCTACCTACTCACCCTCAATAAACTATGCGTATACAAACGCACGTATCAGACGTGTGTATTTTCTATCGTACTGGAGGAGGCAAAACGGACAAACACATTACTCTTTTATTTAAAACCCGTTCCAACGTAAAACATAATACGAGCGATGCTCAGACGTTTCTCTCTATGCTCCGCCTTTTGTTTCGTCCGAACTGTTTTTAACCATACGCGCCTTCTTCGTTCCCTCTCTAAGAAAGAACATAACCTTTAGTTCTTCCTTTTTCTACTTTTCTTTCTTTTTTTCCTTCTTCTTCTTTTCTTTTTTTAATTTTTTTACTTTTTTTACTTCTTTTCTTTTTTACCTTGATTTGTTCGGTCACGGTTGCTCGCGCTTCATCTGTCTCTCTCTTTTTCTTCTCTTTCCTTTTTTTATTTTTCTTTTCCAATTCATTTTTTCCTTTTTTAGATCCATCGAATCCCACACAAGCACACAGGCCACAACGTCATAGCGACGAGCCTTTCTTGAATCATATTCCACAATGAGGTTTCAATAGGGGAAGCCCTATTGTCGTTCACCAATGGCGACCGATTTTATAGTGATCTAATGTACAGATGTTATTTACCCCGCAATGAGAATGGAATAAAAGCATTCTATGTATTAAGCATTCTCTGATTTGGATCCTGTATATCTCCTGCTTACCGACCTATTGCAATCCATCTACAGACGTACAATAATACATGCTCAGGCCACGTATCGCGCACAATGGCACTATTACTCTTTTGACTTAGTCATGCGAACAAAAGTAACTATATCGGTATATTTTCGAAGAAACCGTATTTACATTTAAATAATGATTATACGTACATATAACTGGTTGTATCACATTACACGTAATCCGGTATTAAAATTTAAAAATATAAATAATAGATACGTATACTATTAGAAACTAATATTTAATATCTATAGTAATTTAAGATTCCTTTTTATATTTTTTTGATCGTATATTTTGTTTCATTTTTTCTAATTCTTTTTTATTCATTTTAAATATTTTCAAAGAATATTAAAATTAAGTTTTTTAAGATTGTAATCTATATTATTATAAGCTATAGAAAATATAAGGAAAAAAAATCACTGTTATATTATAAATATTTAATCAAAATTGAATTACTATAATTGTTATAGAATTACTATAGGCATTTTTTTTTAATTAATTAATATATAATGTCTACTTGAAAAATATGCAAAAAAAGATGAAAATTAAAATTAATAATTATTAAAGAATTATTTAAAACTTTTACATTAATAAATAATTATTTATAGATAAATATTCTTTTATCCTATTGCATACATCATTATTCTTTGTTCTTTTTCCTTTTCCTTTTTTTTTTTTTGTTTTTTTTTCTAATTTCTAACACATTGACACGCAGTACAATGTATTACAAGAAAAACAACGTCATATCGATAAATAGCTTATTTATAGAACATATTATTTTCAAGTGTACGTCATCACATCGGTCGTAGAATAGAAAATTGGTATAAAACGAAAGTAATGCGTTTGACCGTGCACACTACAGTGAATGGCACGTTTCAGGGCGGTTACGAACCGATTAATTCAACTCGTGCGTCATTAGTGAGAACGCAATGACGGTTTGAGCAACATTAAAAGCCCGCACACGAAGCGGTATTCGTCGATACCGTTGATATATGTACACCGACACGGACCATTTTTTACTCTGGCATATCAGCCACTCAAAGCGTACGTACGCGCCGATGGATAAATCAATAAACCAATAGCTATGGTAATGCACACCTGCTTTTAAAGTATCAGCCCCTCCTCGCGTTCCCGTTTACACGATCCATACAATTATAAGTTGAATTCAGGATTTTATACTTCCGCGAATTATTACAAAATTGCACCATATAAAAATATCATAAGCATAAATTAATCAAAAAACACAAAAAATAAATTAAATTATGAATTAGTCAAATATAATCATATTTAAATAATAATATTTAAATCAATTTCATATCAAACGTATACGCGATTGAATTTTTTCGATATTAAAAGTAAAATTTCTAATAGTTTCTTAAAATCATTTTATTATTAATGACGTAAATCATAGTAATGAAAAAATATTTAGATGAAAAATCTTTTAAATTATTTAAAATCTTAATAAAAATATATTACAGGTAACTATAATATATAAAAATGTATTACACATTATTTAGATTAAAGAATTGACATGTTATATATTTGAAAAAAATCATTTTAAAAAATCCTTCAATTAATGAAATATTATTTTCCTTTTTACATTTAAATATCAATAATCTCTTTTTCATTATTAATTTTATTAATTTATGACAAAATATATTTTTTTAGAAAATAAAAAAAAGAAATATGTAAATGTAAAAGGTTAATAATGTCACGTATATTTATAACTAGATAATTCATCTTTCTAATTTTATCAATTAGAAATAGAATGGTTTTTTTATTTTTTTTTTATATTGTTCAAAAAAAAATCCTTTCCATTTCACTTCTTTTTTATCTATAAACAACTAAAGAAACATGATTTCCTTGTCCGCGTTTACATCACATGTATATCGACAGGTAGAAGTTCATTCACCTACGCAAATATTAGAGATCATGATCAATCTGATACCTGCACCTCTCTTTTCTTTGATATAGCGACCTATGATCTAATCTTTCTTATCCGATCGAAAGGTGATTCAATCTGTGTGATGTTGGCAAACATTGTAACTCGATTCTTGATCTTAATCTCCTGTTTCCCCTAATATAAACAACTTTCCGAAGGGGAAAACTGGTATAAAACTTATAATTCTTTACTGATTTTTTACCTGGTACCATCGTTAAATCGGATACATCTGGAAACATTCTAAGATCAGGAAGTAAGAATCGTGGGAGAATCTTTGAAAATGTCAATCCCAATCTTAGATCTTTAGAAATCTTTTCTATAATATTCTTTTTCTATTCTTTTTCAGTGTTTCCATCTTTTCTAATAAAGAGAAAATTTCCATTTTAATGAATTTGTCGATTAGCTTCTTAAAGAATGTTATTTCAAATTTTTTAAGCCAATGATATAATATTAGAAATTTTTTTTTGCGAATAACTCGAAAACGAAAATCGATTGCTGATTGTGTGTGAAAAAAAGTTAAACAAAATGAAATATTTGTTATTAAATTGAACCATAATTCTGTATTGACGGGCTAAAATATTAATGCCTTAAATTCTATTTTTTGAATAATAATTGATCCAGAATCGAAAACAATTATATTTCCCCGATTTCAATTTTTAATTGATAATTTTATTATTAGATTTATCATAACACGAATAGTTATAAATAGTTATAAATCAATAATATAAAATATGTAAGTAAATATATAAAATTTTATTATATAAAAATTTGTATTACATCTAATGTAATAAATAATTACATTATTAATTATTTAATAATTAACTACAATTTCCTAAGTTTTCATATTTCAAAATCAATTGCTTTTTAATCTCGAGTCTATCCTATTCGTGTAACAAAAATAAATACTAATACGATAAAAAACGTGATCATGTTTAAAACAATAATAGATGTACCAATTTTATATAGTTAGAAAATGCAAAGGAATAAATATAGTAAATTAGAAGATAAACTCTAGACACTTATGAAACACGTTTGTATTAAAAAATAGTGAGATATAGATAGAAGAGGGAACGGTGTCAAATCGAGGGCGACATATGCAGAAGCATATATATTTCGACAGTACGATAGAGTACGGATGGCATTCAACGCGTCACCGTCGCCGGATGAACCTACGGTCTCACCCGTGATCTACCGTACGCCGGTGAAATACCGTATGACTTTTTGACGTGCTTTTAACAGATTGAATTGAAAATGGCTTCCATGGTACCGATATATCCGCGAGACCACATCCATACTCTGGAAACGACTGTACGAATCGACGGACGTGAGAGACGAGATATATAATCTTTTTCCTTCTCTTTCTCTCTCTTTCTCTTTCTCTCTCTCCATCTACCACCCTTTCCCTCTTTTCTCTCACTTTCACACCTCACCGAAACTTTTTCTCCCTTCCTCCCCTTTTTCCTTCTCATACCTCTTCCCTCCTTTCGCTCTTTTATATATTTAACTCACTTCCTCCCGTCTTTCGGGAAATCGTTTTCCTCGTTTCTCGCTCTTCTGCCCACGAACCCTATTTCTATTTCTCTCTTTTCAATTTTTGCACATTCGCTGATACGGCACATTGTAAGCTGCGCCGGCGGAAATGACGACGACGACGACGAGGAGAAGCAGAACTGGACTCGTGGTCACTCGAATCACGGCTGGACCGGAAAGGAAGAAGAGAAAGAAGAGGTGGAGGACCGCGTAAAAATAATGTCCTGGATCATTTTTTAAAACCCCAATCGCAGAGAGAGAGAAAGAGAAAGAGATAGAAAGACTAGGAGGAGTCAGAACTGCGTACGAGCTGGGGTTGTGTGGTAGAGAAAAAGAGAGAGAAAGAGAGAAAAAAAATAAACGTGACGGACCATGGGTATAGACATCGTCGATATTACGGGGTGCAATAGCACGGGACGACCAACGCCAGATGAAACGGTCAAAGCTAAAAAGCTCTCTCCGCCGAAACGGGCTATATATTATCTGCAACCCTTCAAACACAGAACACACCGAGATCCATATATAACCCATATGCGTACGCTTTTCTATGTACCGTTTCTCTGCCCAGGAATCTGCCATGCAATCGCAAGTATGTTTTCAAGTCTGTTTTCAATAAACATTGCTATAATTACAGCAGAAATTATGTATTATCTAAATTCAAATAACTTGAAACCTCTTTATCATGTGACTTGTTATTTTATTTGTTTCTAGACTTAATAAAATTTCAATATTTTATGTTTTTTTTGTTCCTTTAAATACTTACAACTAATTTATAAAACACTTTACCAATATGAATCTATTAATCTAATCTTATTTTATTTTATTATTATTTGACTTGGATAACAACAAATTTTAACAATAAATATAGTAAAGTAGTACATATATATTTATTCCAAAAGAACTATTAATTTTGTATTAATATCATTCGAAACTAAAAGATACTTGAACTTTTTATCTATAAAATATTTCGAATTATTTATTCCGATCCTTAAAAAAATCAAATTTAACTCGTAATTAATTTTATAACTTATTACATTATATTTATACTATTGATCATTATTTTTGATTCTATTTTTATAATTAATTATTAATATGCATTATACATGTACTATATATAATATATATTTTTTATATATATTTG